CGCACAGTGCGTTGCCAGACCTGGTCCGGCACTTGGGGGGGGAGGGGGGGGGCGACATGCACTGATACTGTATCAGAATCTGCGATACCTCCACACTGCTTAGATGGTGGCCCCCAAACCCATATCTCCAAAACCTGCGCAGATCAGATGAATGCAGCCAATGGCGTGATGGACTGACTTCCAAATCTAAGGAAGGAACAGGAAACATTATTAATAACAATAGTAACCAATCATGAGATAGATGGGCTTCCATTGCCGCCCTCTCTGGAAATGTCACCTGACCTTCATGTGGGTCCAGTAGGGTCTTGCTGCCGCTCATCTGTTTTGGGTTAAAACTCCATTCTGGGAATTTTAAGAAATGACCCTTGAAGTCCGCCCCCCCACCCCCCTCCCCCCTTAAACCCACACGCACCCACCCACACGCACACACACCATATTGCAAGGGTTAAATGCTGGTGAAGTCTAGGGGTAGAGGAGTAGGGTGTAATAGTTACCCCATTTCTTGGTCTGGGAGGCTTCCACCACACTGCACGACCGCTCACCCGAAGCCTCTTCTCTTTGGCCTTCTGGCCAGCGGTCGCAATCTAATGCCATCAGATGCAATGCAGGACGCGCAGTACCAGGGAGCCACTTTAAGGGTATTTTCAATGTAAATTCAGCGTTCAGTATGTGGCCGGTTGGCAGCCCCGGCCCGTTATGTGCTATCAGAGAGATCCGTGTCCCATCTCCCCATCCCTCTAATTGCATTCTGTTCTTCTGCTGCTCTTGTCTCCCTTGCAGGTTCCAGTGTCCCCAGTTACCCGAACCTCTCAAGTTAGTTTGACAACTTCCTGTTAACCATCTAGGAAAAACAAACAAACAAAAAAAGTGACCACTTCCTCTCCCTCACTCCCCGATCATCGCCACCTCCGGCTCCCTTTCAGTCCACCATTCATCTCGTTTTGCTCCATGTCATCTGTGTTTGTCCCGCTCTCTCATACGTCCTTTGAGTTGGCCCCGGTTCTGGTGAAGGACAATAGTGTAGCGAGATCGGATCAGGTTGTAGTGTGGAACCCAGGACATGAGTCGGTCCCCACAGGCCAGCCCGTTGGTTTATCTGTCGCTGGTTCTTCTCCAGGGTTCCTCTGTCATGTTCTCCTGAGATCCGCCATGAGGAGGAGACACCAAATGATGACGTTTATCCCGCATTCTGCTCCTTCCATCGTAATTTTATTATTAGGACTTCTCTGATCTTCTCATCACTCTTTACTTAAATTTTTTGTACTCAATCTTTCTCCAATTTTCTCCTCAATCTATAGCTTTCCTGTCCTCCTTCCAAATCCCGTTTTAGGGCCCCGCTTTCATTTTTCTCTGATGTCCCCTTCTCTCCATCCCACCATCCCTACACAGCATCACAGCTCACAGGGTGGACTGTCCACGAGGGCTGCATGAACAACGGGCGACATTGCGGTCCATCCTGCTGCTTCTCTCTGCAGTGCTGCAGCATGCTGCGTGTTAACAGCTTCGTCTGTCCGTCCATCTTGCTGCACTGTCCATCCACGTGTGTGTCCGCCTGGAAACGTTGTGTGTTACGGCCGTTGGATCACGGTTCTTCTTCTCTCCCCCGTCAGGTATGAGGGACCATCCTCCCATCCCGATCACCGACCTGGCTGACAACATCGAGCGCCTGAAGGCCAACGATGGACTTAAATTCTCCCAGGAATATGAGGTGAGACCTGTCTATAGCCTCTCATGCCCCCCTCCCCCACAGTCTCTTAAGCCAAGGGCAAGTATTTCGAGACTTCTTGTTTTGTCTTTCAGTCCATCGACCCCGGTCAGCAGTTCACCTGGGAAAATTCCAACCTGGAGGTGAACAAGCCAAAGAACCGCTACGCAAATGTTATAGCGTACGACCACTCGCGTGTCATCCTTACCTCAGTGGACGGTAAGTAGCCTTGTAGTCATCGGGCCCAATGCAGATCCTTAGAAGTAGTCTTTACCACGGACGTGTGGAATGATTTTTGGCAAATTTGGTTGTGCAGCAAAATTACAATTTTTAGTTTTTGCCCAATTGGTCTCTATTTTTTGCCAGGTGACCAAAAATTAGCATTAAAACGTTTCCTCTGGGCCTACAGGGCTCCTAGCTTTGAGGCGCCATCACTGTGTGACTCAACAACTACGACATCAACAATTGCCAGGTCATCGAGGACATTGATAAACAAAGCCAACCGATCACACATGTTATAATTAAATATCCATAAAAGAAGTACAAAGTAATCGCGCTCTGTTACCTTAATTGCTCCTTCTATTCTATTGGTAGATCTAAAAAACAATCTTCACCGACTCCAATACAATTTGGCAAAAATTGGGAAATTTCACCAAAATTTCCGGAGAGGTGAAGACCACCAGTTGTGTTATTCTCCAGGACTTTACTAGTTATTTTGTTCTCAGGAGTCCCCGGCAGCGACTACATCAACTCCAACTACATAGACGGGTACCGGAAGCAGAACGCTTACATCGCCACGCAAGGTCCGCTGCCCGAAACCTTCACCGATTTCTGGCGCTTGGTGTGGGAGCAGAGGGCCTCCACTATTGTGATGATGACCCGGCTGGAGGAGAAATCAAGGGTGAGCTGCTGCTGCAGAAATGGGATTCTGGAGATAACGAGGGCTCGGATCTCATCTACGCGGAGATTGTTAATTGCAGCAAATGATATTTTTAATCGGTGCCACGGCATCCGCGCCAAATTAGATTTTATGACTCGCCCCCGGGGGCCGAGGGACGCGAGACAAAAACAAGCATGCCGATGATTTCATTGCCCTTCGCAGCGTTAATGCGCCATAAAAAAGCACTTCAGTCTTTCAATGGGCAGGACTCTTCCTACATCAAGTCCAATACTGTATGTACTATATTATATTACTATACTATGTGTACCATATATACTTGTCATCAGGGGCGTAACTAGAAATCACAGGGCCCCATAGCAAAATTGTGTATGGGGCCCCGTGACTTCTAGTTATACCCCTTGCAGAGTCCACTTGAGATCCCACACAACACAATGTACAAACACTGTACATAGAAACAATGTATATAATGGATAATCTCTACTGAAAGATCAATATTAATTGATCTGCAGAGCTGGAATTTTTCAGTTGCGTTCTGCATGCTGCAGAGGAGGACCCTTGCTCTCTGTGTGGAAGCAGTGGTGTCTCTGCAGAGGTCCAACAAACCTTCTGAAAAGTCAGACCTGCAGCTCTTGCAATAAGCAAAGCTCATGCTCACTGCTGATTGGAGAGCTCTGGCTCTGACTCGGCAGGAGGCGTGTCAGACCTCTGCAGAGAGACCACAGCTTCCACGCACAGAGCAGGGGTCCTCCTCTGCAGCATAGTGGCAAAGCACAGGCTCTTCTGCTCAGGCTGTGGCTGCTTTCTAAATAAAATAAGACTTTGCTGATCTTTTGATGCTCCTGGAATGTATTGAGCAAACTTTAAAATCACCCTAATTTTGTATCTGATTAAAACGTGATCATATTTGCGTCCCATTCACAGGTGAAATGTGACCAGTACTGGCCCAGCCGAGGCTCCGAGACGTACGGAATGATACAAGTCACCCTGCTAGACACGGTGGAGCTGGCCTCGTACACAGTGAGGACGTTCGCCCTCTACAAGGTGAACGTTATTCTAACCATGAACTTCTCTCATCCTGCGAGTCGCGATAAGGCGGCACATTACCGGAGAAGCTAGACAAGCAAATTAAGAGTGTAATGTTTTAATTTACTTTTCAATTATAATATAATTTTACGGTGCGCTGAGCTTAATGAGAGGAACAATGAAGGCAGATAGAGGCGCCGAGCCAAGGTTTCGCACACCTATTGCGGGGAGATGGTGACTGCGTTTAGTGCGCCGCGGCTCGCTAATGTCATCGCCGGAGTTTAATTTAACCGTCTTCCGTTACGGAGACGCCGTCCAACTCCTCCCGACGGATCTTCCCAGGCTGACACAAAACTTTTTGTGAAAGTGTTTCCAATGACGTGGAGTAAGAATCGCGGCACAGTTCTCGGGGTGTTTCTATGAAGAGTAAAGATGAGGATTTAGCCAAATGTGCGCTGGAAGAGCGTTCTGCTTTTCTTAGTAGCCGCCGGAACGGCACCTCAAGTTCAGAGCAGCGTCCGTGTAGTGCCACCAATTGGATGGAAGGGGAAATCCTCTGCACACCTTGCAGCAATCAAGGCCTATGAAGACAATGGTGCTTGTAGTGATGAACGCGGATGGCACCGTGCAGACCCAATGTAGGAAGAGGAATCACCAGCACTCGGTAGAATAATCCAACATGTCCATTTATTGGACATAGACGTCACATAATCACAAGAGCCAACGTTTCGAGACCACGCAGGATCTCCATCAGGGCATAAAGAGTGATGAAGAGACCCTGCGTGGTCTCGAATAGTTGGCTCTTGTGATTGTGTGACGTCTATGTCCAATAAATGGACATGTTGGATTATTCTACCGAGTGCTGGTGATTCCTCTTCCTATATCGTGTAGTGCAACCAGACGTCACGGCTCCCATGTGTGGTTGGGTGTATGCGATGTACAGCACCCGGTTGTGACCCGTACACATCTGCTGATTGACAGCTATGGATATACACATATACACATGCACCGTGGCATGTGTCTTCACACCCTGGCACTTTGCTGCTCCTTGGCTGCTTCAGGTATCTCTTGTGGGAGCAGTGTGCCTGCCATCTCCTTTCCAGCCAGAGCAGGACGCGTATGGCCCTTACACATCTCCCCCCAGCTCTTAGCAACCTGGAGGGAGGTGTGTAAGGGCCATAGCCACCCCCACCCCCCCAATGTTACTGGTTGCTGTGGCCGACGTCCCTTGGCAATCAGTGATGTTACTGGATGCTGTGGCCGGCGCCCCGCTGCTCTCCTGGCAATCAGTGGTGTTACTGGATGCTGTGGCCGGCGCCCCAATTTTCTCCTGGCAATCAGTGATGTTACTGGATGCTGTGGCCGGCGCCCCACTGTTCTCCTGGCAATCAGTAATGTTACTGGTTGTCAGGAGCTGAGCAGGACGCTCTGGATGAGATGATGATGTAGAAGCAATGGCCATCCCCCACCCCCTGGTTAACATGCACCACCAGCACACATTACCCCTCAATCAGCATCCACCACCTGCACACCTTACCCCCCTCCCGTTAGCATGCACCCCACCCCCTGCCTCAGGTGGCGAAAAAGGCAAAGGACACCCCTGCTTTTGGGTGTGAATACCTACTCCCCCCACCACATGCTGTATTTCCTCTTGTTACAGGGGGGGGAGCAGGTATTCAATCCCATCACTTCTTACAGAGCAGGCGGAATAACGCATGTTACGCACCTTTGTGAAACGAGGGGTGCGTAAGTTGCGGAATCCAGAGGATAATAGTCCACAATGAGGAAGAAAGGATTTGTGGAATGAGCCTATTGTGCTGACTTGGTGCAAAAGCAAATCTCAATTCTTAGACACTTTGGAGCATAAAAGGGCCGATTATCAATACACTTATTATAGATAGTCCCCTCCATGTGCAGATCCGGGTGGAACGTCCTGGCATGGATCAGTGATGGGATATTTGGGGTGTTTATTGTATTTTCTATCTTACAGAACGGCTCCAGTGAAAAACGAGAGATCAGACAGTTCCAATTCATGGCCTGGCCAGACCACGGGGTTCCCGAGTACCCCACCCCCATCCTGGCCTTCCTACGCAGGGTGAAGGCCTGTAACCTGCCAGATGCTGGGCCTATGGTGGTACACTGCAGGTAAGAGGAGACGGGGGTGATGTCCAACAGAGATCCCATGTAAAAAAAAATCCCCAACAGGCAACATGTGGTAATGGTGGGACACACAGGAGGGGACACAGTAGTCATGAGTTTTGTGAAGTGCAGTCTTGGATCAGCTTACCATTATGCCAGTTATGCAGACAGTATAGGGAACTTTATGTATGGGGGGAAAAAGCATATTGAGTACATCTCTGCCATACATGCACGTTCCACCATGTCTTGTCTCTGTTTAAATGCTGATATGTCTGTTGATCTGCCAGAAATCCAGTGAGCTCCTCACTTCCTGTAGTGACCCGACAACACTGCCTCTGCAGCACTGAATTCCTAAGTAGTGTTGTCAGCCCTGCCTGAGTTCTATCCTGCTCTACTACATAAGGGAGGGGGGATTCTGTAGTCCAGCAGCATTGTCCTTGTCTATACTACAGAACCCCCCTCTAGTCCCTACTAGACTACAGAACCCCCCCTCCCCTTATAGGGGGGGAGATGATATATAGTAGAGCAGTGTAGAACTCAGGCATGGCTGACAACACTGCTTAGGATCTCAGCAGTGTAGTGGCAGCGTTGTCAGCTCACTCCAGGAGGTTAGGCGCTCAATGGATTTCTAGCAGATCAACAGGTACTTTCCTCTAAGCTCGGGGAAAAGTACGTGTATTGGAAGATGTACAGAATATTTATTATGTAAAATGGATACAACTTAAAGTGGAGCTGCAGTTGTATCACATTGTATCTTAAAAAGATTAGACAGCTCAGGTCACATGACCTCTGGATACCAGGAGCGTTGTGGCCGTTTCACATCATTGCAGACTGCAGGGGGTCTTATGTCAGTGGTAGCCAAACTCCGGCCCTCCAGCTGTGGGTGGAACTACAAATATCATGGTGCATCTCTCATGTGGGAGTCATGTCTGTGCCTGTGAGAATCTTGCAATGCTTCATGGGATTTGTAGTTCCACCCACAGCTGGAGGGCCGGAGTTTGGCTACCACTGGTCTATGTGAAAAAAGGTATCGCAGCTTCCCTTAAAGGAGAACTATGGGGTCAGTGTTTTTCCCCATAGTTCTCAGGGTAACGGATTTATACAATGTATCCGAGTCTCCTGTGTGAGTGAGGCCTGACATTGTATCCAGCGTTACACAGTCTCCACTGTCTATGTCTTGCACAGTGCCGGTGTGGGGAGGACCGGGTGCTTCATCGTGATTGACGCCATGCTGGAGCGAGTGAAGCTGGAGAAGACGGTGGACATCTATGGTCAGGTGACCTGCATGCGCTCTCAGCGGAACTACATGGTGCAGACCGAGGACCAATACGTCTTCATCCACGAAGCCCTGCTGGAGGCGGTCCTGTGCGGAAACACAGAAGTGCCGGCGCGCAGCCTGTACGCTCATATCCAGAAACTGTCTCAGGTCCCCGTGGGAGAGAGCGTCACCGCCATGGAGCTAGAGTTCAAGGTATGTCGGCTCCGGTGCGGGTTCTTAACTCTGAACTCCAACCTTACCTTTCCATTCCCTATACTTGCAGCAACTTCCCTATTGTGATGAAACTGATCGCTCTCAATTCCCTGCAAACTTGCATCTCCACGGTATAACCCTTTGAAGCTGCAGCGACTGTCCTAAGCTCTCCTTCATTTCTTGTCTGAAAAGCTTCAATGATCATTTATCCCCTTTCCTCCTGCTCTGTACTGTCATAGGGCATCCTCTCACCGTTATCAGCTTTATCCGCCATCAATAATTTTTGCTATTTGTCGTATACGGACGTGAACTTTAGGACTGGCATCAGTCACTGTGCTGCTGTTCCAAAGCACCACATGAAAGAAAACATCCCCGGCATCATTTAAAGCCTTGGTTCTCAACTGGTGGGTCGTGACCCCTTGTTCAGTGGGTCACCACATGCCATCCGCTTTTCTAGATGAGGCTCCCTAGCCTCCCCCATAGCGCAGCACTGTCAGTTCCCGGGCCAAGCAGCCATTCAAAATATGCTGCCTGGCAGTGGCGTCACAAGGGGGGTGCACCCGGGTAACACCATTGGACTGACAGTCATTTTGGTGTCACCCCCCTCTGAAAAGTTGGGTGCTCGGTCATGGACCGAACGCCCGACAGTATCAGGAGAGAGGAGGGGACACGACGGCATACCTTATCCCACCGGGTGACTGTCCCCTCCTCTCTCTGCCGGCGTCCATCACCAAGATGGCCACCGGCAGGTATCAGAAGAGCGCCACGCACGCGCGGTGACGTCTTCGCGTAGTGACACCCGGTAACCGCTCCGGGTGTCACCCAGCCTCTGGACGCCGCTGCTGCCTGGTGCTGAGTGTCAGCTTGAGGTGGGGCCACGGCCGCGAGGGAGCTTCATCCATACCTGCATTGCTTGCCCAGCTCCCTTGCGTGCCCTGTAGAGGTGCCTGGACCGGAGTGACATCACATTCTGGCTCCCGGCACCTCTACAGGGCACGCAAGGGAGCTGTACAAGCAATGCACATATAGATGGAGCTCTAGCACAGCACAGCAGCCCACACTGGACCCCAAGCTGAGGATCCCCTCCAGTTCTCATATGATATGGAGACTGGGTGGATCTGTACCTCAATGCCGTGTGTTCCATCGCAGTACGACTTGGGTCACGACTTAATGGCCGAGGACAAACGTGGGTCCTGAGGTTACACAGGTTGAGAACCACTGATTTAGACGTTTGGCCACTGGATGCTGTAGACCAGTGATGGCGAACCTTGGTACTCCAGCTGTGCCAAAACTACAAATCCCAACATGCATCTGCCTCTGGGAGTTATGCTTGCGGATGTCAGAGTCATGCAATGCCTCATGGGACTTGTAGTTCCAAAACAGCTGGAGTGCCAAGGTTCGCCACCACTGCTGTAGACTATAGCTGTGTAATCTGTTGATCACTCTCTTGGAGTATAATAAAGCGACTGATCAGCAGATTGCTCAGCCAAAGTCTGCTGCACCCAATGGCCATGCAACAAGAGATGCCGGGGATGTGTTCTTTCATGAAACACTTGAGGCAGGTGCTGTGGTACTGACAGCCCCCTCCTACCAAACTTCATCTTACTACAGAGCAAAGACCAGTGATGACATCACCGGGTCTTAAAAGAGGGATTTTATTAAACCAAAATGAAAGGTGTTGAGTCGGGGGGGACTGCAAGGGATGTATTATTTGTGTACATTACACTTTCATATATATCCACTCCTCACATTGACGATGGAGGAGGACACTTCTGAGATCATTCGGCTTCGCTATGGCGTGTGTGTGAGTGGAGAGTCCTTATTGACAGTTACCAGACACGGGGATGGATCGCAGGGATGCCACTGGAACGTATCTCAGCGTTTGAAACAATGTTTCTTTTCTCTTCGTTTTCCACATAGCTATTGGCCAACTCCAAAGCCCACACCTCACGCTTCATCAGTGCCAACCTACCGTGCAACAAGTTCAAGAACCGGCTGGTGAACATCATGCCGTACGAATCGAGCCGCGTGTGTCTTCAGCCGATCCGAGGCGTCGAGGGCTCCGACTACATCAACGCCAGCTCCATCGATGGCTATAGGTAACGTCATGATGGAAAGCGCACCCTAGGTGCATCTGTGACAAAATAAATCGAGGCGACTGGACTTGTTGTATTAGGCTGGGTTCACACCTAGGCGTATCGAATATGCGCGTTTGTCGCACGTTTCGTGCCGCGTGTTTTACCGCGATTTGCGGTAAAAAAACATGCAACGTTTCCGAGGGCTACCTGGCTGTATCCCAATGGATACGCGCGGCAAGTACGCCCCAAAGAAGCTCCTGTACTTCTTTGGGCGTAGGGCGTTTTGTATCGCTTTCCTACGGCCTGTAATACGCCCAGGTGTGAACCATACCCATAGGAAATAATGGGATTTCGGTGTTTGAGCGTTTTGCAGAGCGTAGGAACGCGCTACAACACGCCCAGGTGTGAACCGGGCCTGAGACGCTTTGCTGGTCACCAGACTAGCTTTCTCCGTTCCGACACTGATCTGTAGTAAGATCGTTTCTTCAGATGTTTATTCAAGCAATCAACAAAACTTCATCATTGCCGATGAACACAGCAAGAGAGTCAGAATTGATCAAGAGTTTTTATAAATCTATTAAACTGATCACATTGATACATCTCTGGCCACCATTATACAAATGTTCATTCAAAATTCCTAGGTGGACTTAGAACTCAGCCCGTGAGGCATTGCATTGATAACAAGGGAATGTTACCGTCATCCGCTTCTCCTGTCCTCATGCTTCCTTCCTGTTTTGCAGGCAGCAGAAAGGCTACATCGCCACTCAGGGACCCCTGGCGGAGACCACTGAGGACTTCTGGCGCATGCTATGGGAGCACAATTCCACCATTGTGGTGATGTTGACCAAGCTGCGGGAAATGGGCCGGGTAAGAACAATTTCTACACACACTTCAAAATGGTAAACCGGTTGGAGAGTACCAATGGTCTGAAAGTGATTTTTCTAGGGCTGTTACTGATAACGCACATACAGATCCAACTACATTGGCCTTTACACATACAGCACAGCAATTAAGTCATAAAATGAACTAGGATCACACTAATCCAGCACGTTATTCATCTCACGTGCCCCACTCAATATGGCCGCCGCTTGAGTGGGGCAACTCAGAATAATAACGTGCTGGATGAGTGTGATCCGAGTTCATTTTATGACTTCATTGCTGTGCTGTATGTGTATAGGCCAATGCCTTGGCTGGCGCTCGTGCAGAAAGTTTCTTGGGCAAACTCACCGGCCCAAGTGGCTCCGTCGGCTAACGAAGGGAATAGGAGTCCGGTGACGCCACGGACATCGACGTCACCCGACTCCTCCCCCCTTCCCTTCGTTAGCCGAAGGAGCCACTTGGGGAAGGGGGGAGGAGTCCGTGACGTCACCGGATTTCCGACGGGAGTCCTGGAAGCCGGCGGAGAGGTGAGTATTTTCATTAGCGATTAAAAAAATTTTGATCGATAAAAAAGATTAACGATTAATCGAGAAATGAATCGTTAATTTGCACAGCCCTAGATTTTTCCAAACAGTCTATTTAGGAATCCAACCAAACCCTTCCAGAGGCTTAATAGCACTCTAAAAAGCCTTTTATGTCCAGGGTGGTTAGAAAAATAAGTATCTGAAATATCAGAAAGGACAAGCGGGGCACCTGGAGGTTTTATACATATGAAGTAAGCCAACAGGTGCACTTTAAGAAGCCATGGTGCTGGTGCTTTCATTAAAGGGATTGGTTTCAGCAACTAGTCTTAGTGGAATGTACATAGTACTACACATAATAAAATGCATTCCCCCCGTTCTTCATATTAAAGGAGAACTATGGGGTTAAGGCTTTTCCCCATAGTTCTCCTTAGGGTAACGGGAGGACACAAACTAGCGTCCTCCCGTCACCCTAAGCTCAGTATATAGGGAGCTACAGCTCGCGGTATACTGAGACGCCGTAGCCGGAGCAGATCCCGGCATCGATGTGGAGAACCGCCCAGCTGCGTGAGTGACAGCTGGCTCTGCCTATCTAGAGGCAGAGCCAGCTGTACCCGCCCCCTCCCCCGTCCGTTCCGCCAGTCAGCGCTGGCCGGTCGGAGAAGTGAGCGAACACCGTCATGTGTTCGCTCACCTCCCGATCTACTGAGCCGACCTGTGACTGTCTCATTTTCACAGGTCGGCTAGAACTATGGGGTGAGTGAAAAGCACCCGCCTCATAGTTCTCCTTTAATACATGCTCTGTTCTGTTATATTGGACCTTCATGTAGTGTGAACCGGGAGCTACTTCGGCAATATTGCTCAGCAGCGCAGGGATGTTCATTGATTATTCCGGTGCTTCAGGATAAACCTGAGAGTGTTTAAATAGAACTTTACACTGGAATAATAAATCGACATCCCGGGACATACTGTGTAAGCAATACTGCTCAGCCAGCTACACATTTATACTACATGAAGGTCCAATATAATGGAATAATGCATTTATTTATAACTGTGAATGGATAGGAGA